TGTATCTATTATCCACTTCTCACTATATATAACAAAGAGCATTTCTATAGGGAGTAGTTAAGAATAGTGGGAAAATGGAAGACTCCAAGGTTCTGACCATTCTTGAGATTCATGCTTTTCTCCAGTAGTTCTCTCATGTTCTGACGAATTGATGCAGTTTAAAGATATGATTTGGGGATTTTATTTGCTCTGTTTATAACTAGTCCAGTGAAAAGCTCTCTCAGATAAGACTTTTATTCATCAGAATCCCAGCCTGGTTTGAGTTGGAAGGGACCTTAAGTCTTAACCAATTCCAACCCCCTGCAGTCATCTGTTTTCCCAACACATTTTTAAGGTATTGTTTTAGGGTGGTGTTTTAAAGGCCTTGTAACACTTCTCTAATCTCATTCTAATTTCTCCTTCCTGTCCTTTCTCCATTCCTTAAGTGCAAAATGGATATTATATACCAATATAACTTCCCCATTGAGTTGTAATCAGTTTTTCTTCTCTGCACAGTCCCTTCAGTCTGAGTATGTTCAGTACTAAAGCCTTGCTGCTTTGGTGAAACCTGCTGAGCTCTTAAAATCCAAGTCCTTCATGAAGAACTTCAGGAAGGAAACTGCTTGCTCAGAGGAGGAATCTTCAATACCCAGGACATACTAAACCCTTAAAGAAGAGGAGACTTCTTAACAGGCAGAAATTTCTTGTCACTGACTACTGCAGCTGCACTGATGTTAAATTTATGGAAATTCTTAACCCCGTGTTATATGCAGATTTAAAATTTTAATGTTGAGACAGCTTGAATATATTTCTAATGAATTTCATTAAGACATTTATTAACTTGTGTACAGTGTTAAAATATGTATTTAGAGAATATTTTGGTAAGCAATATATATAAAAATGATGTAAAAATTAGAATATATTTTAATTTAGTGTCGACTTTGCTACAAAAAATGTGTATTTTAAAGAATTTGTACATGTTTATCAAAGATACAAATTTTTTTATGAACAAGAAGTTTTTCTTGGTGTAGGGGTCCACCATTCTTGCTTAGAGCCTAATGTAATTATTTTTTTGCTACTTGGTCTTCTGGTAACATAATGGAAGTCTAACTAGTGAGAAACTAGTTATTGCACTATTGAGTGAAAGCACTTGATGCAGTCGCTTCCTACTTTCAGCTGCTAATGTTTCATAAGGAAATGCTGTGAAAGAAAAATAAAGGGAAAATGTTGGTTGAGACAGAACTTACATCTTCCACTGCAAAGAGAAAGTGATTTATCTGATGATTCAATTCTAGAATTAATGCTTTCTTTCCTTTTGTCTTAAAGGAATGTTTTCACTTTCTTCTCAATGTAGAATATTACATTTAGCTATGCAATGTATGCTGCAAAAATGAAGGCAGGCTGGACTGAAATTGGTTAAGACTGCGTATGCACAGTGAGTTGGGCAGTGCTGCGTACTTAAGTGGTTTTAATCTACATTTGGCAGTATATGTACACTTTCATTAGCGAAGATGTTGGAACTATATTTAATTTTCACTTATCAATTAGGTAAGTTTGGATATCACCTGGATAACATCAATTGGATGTTTCATACACATTTTAGTTTGCAAACTGCTGTTAAACACATGGCTAATGTAAATTCCCGTATCACAGAACATTTTTGCAGTAGTAAAGATGCTCTTTAATGTATAGTTTAATCAGATGTTATTAGGAAGGAGACTGGGAATGAAGGTGTCACAGTGAAGCACTGGAGATCCTGTGGGAAATTTTCACAACTCCACAAGTGCACAGTAAGCAAAAAAAAAAAAGGACTTGATTTGCCACTAGTTTAGAAGACAAAACCAGAACAGATCTGTTACCTAGGAGTTTTTCTGATACCTACAGAAACTTAAAGATCAAACTCAGTTGAACTGCCCATCTGTTCGTGAAGATCAGGAATTCCCTGCATTTGCTTGACAGCTAAAGTTAAGGTAAAGTGCCACGTTATTTATTTAAAAGATAAGCTCACAAATTGCTATGGAAAGTTGTACTGAAAGTGTTACTAAGCAATACTGAGAGCAGCTATATAAATCACTGAATAAAATCTCCATGCAATACTGTACTTTTTCCACAATTGTGTATATGTAACATATACACACACAAAGTAGCATATGTGTGTGCATATATATACAATATACTGTATATTAATTATAGATTAATGGTAAGGTAATTCTACCTCTTATAAAGAATTTTGTCATGAACTTTGTTATAAATAGCTTTCCTTGATAAAATATTGTTTAATTTTGAAATGTAGATATGTATACATACAGCTAATTGACAATAAAATGCCTTTATCATCCAGCCTTCTTGTTTCTTGGCTTTTCTTATGTTAGATATTTTCATGCTAACTAACAAAAGTGGATCTGTAATAGAAAAGCAGCTCTTCAAAATCACGTTCCTTCTTCTAAAGCATGTAGTGTATTTTTATGTAAGGTGACACTGCACAAAGTCATTAGTATGATGGATATCTTTTATAACATCTCTGGCTAACCTTGTACTTGCTTTGTATAACATAAAGTATTTAATCAGCGTATTGGCAGTGTGATGTAAAGGTTGCCTTTGAAAATACCGTAACGTAAAAGCTGTGTCTGAATTGAGGAACTCTTTTTTTCCTGGACAAGGACGCCTGTTAAAAGGTGTATTATACCTTGCCTTTTGCAGATGTAACAGGTTTCTTAGTCTCACGAACAGCAGGGTCTTTGTAAAAACATCATGCTTTCATTAGCTTCTTATCCTTCCTTTCAATTAAAAACTAGTCACAAATGGTGCTAACATGATTTAACTGTGCTGCTGATTATCAGCACATTTGTGTGTCACATGATTATTTATCCAGGGTGCTTAATATTCCTGTTGGCTGAGTCTGTACTGCAGTGGATGATGTGGGCAGTATGGAACTGTTACACAGCCACTCTAAAGAAATGGCAAAGCCAGGAACAGAGCTTTGGAAGTTGCCCAAATTCTGGTGGAAGTCTCATGTAAAAACACAATAAATGCTTCTGCCACTACACTCAGAAAATTAATGGATGGTGGTTTGGATGTGTAGAGTAAATACAAAGGAAAGGCAGCTAAATAAGAAGTTTCCAGTACACAGGAATTAACCTCTCACCTAGCTTTTTTTTCTATACTTTCTATACAAAATACATAAATGCCAGCTAATGTACAACATATTTAAAAATGAAAGATAAATATAGCCAATATTCTGTTACAGTCTGCTTCCTAACAACAACAAATCTAGGGGACAGTGAAAGGTCAGGGACGTCTTCAGAACCTTGTAGCTTTTAAAAAATACCCTGGAATTTGGTTCTCTGTTTATCCTCTGTTCCCTTCTCCTTGAACTTTACTATTTCTTTTGCCCCATTATCTTCTTGTTCTGGGAGTGCAAGCACAGGAGATCATTAAAACAGGTTTGATAAACAGTCAAGGATGGGTTAAATAGATCTAGAGGTTTCGCTGGGCCTGTGATTCCATGGCCTTATGAAACTGTTAATCATCTCTTTAAAGTATGCTTTATGAAGCTTTTTGGTTGGGGAGAGATTTCTTGTTACAGATTTAGAGAATATTTTTCAATTACAGTACTGCAGAAAGAGGAGGATTTTAGTTTCTATAATAACTGTTCTCTACTGACAGCTAAACAATGAAAGGCCTCAAAAGGTTTGACACTTGATTAGATCTGCACTGTAAAGTGCAGTAGGCAAAAAGTATGGTAATTAAGGGCCTGATCAAGTAAATCACTCAGGTATGTCTTTAACCTGGAGTACATGAGCAATCTGATTAATTAAAGAAGAACGTAGGTATTCTTGTTGGTAACAAATGCATGTTTGGATCAATAGTCCTGTCAATTGCAAACATGAGCCTGTCAAATCAAAGATGTGCTGTGTTGCAAAAAAATAATCTGTTAACCCACACTAATTAACTCCAGTATCTTAAAGAATGTATATTGTAACTATAATTATTTCCCAATAGATTATTTGGTGTTGTCATTTATTAGCACCGTGAGTTTAACAAAGATACCTTTAGTCAATATATAGATCATACCTTACAAGCCAGGAGTGTTCATTTCTGTAGCCTACATATAACCCACCTGTAAAAGCACTTTATCTCCTACAGTCACCACAAAATTAAGCAGCATTCCTCTTCTGGGAAGCTTTCCTGAGAGGAAATACTAAGTTCATTTGCTCGCTTTCTTATTAAAGTCTTGTGCAGGGTAAGGACAGCTGATGTTCTGCTACTGTTGAATAAAGTACCATTGAGTTCCTGAGAGAATCCAACTACAAACTCTTGTCTATTTGGGAAAGAAGTGTTAAGTCTGGCTTTTCACACAGCTTTTAGTCCATGCAACCACCTGCTGGTCACCTCTGCTGGGACTTGTGCTCTGAATCAGTTCTGGTGTGAGACCGTTTCAAACACCGCACTGATTCTGTTTTATCTGTGTTCTTATTGGCACCTCCATCAGGATCTCCTGTGGGCTGAGGCAGCTGTTTAATCAAGAAATACTGAATATTTAGGCTGAGGACCAGCTTCCTCAAATAAGGAATTTTATCTTACCAAGGATCTGTGCATCTGTTGTGTTTTGAATGATTTCATTTGGAAAGTATATTGTTGTTATAGACCAGTTCTAAAATTAAGCTTGCAGAAGCATAGTGCACTTTCTCTTAAAAAAGGGTCAGAAATAAAACCAGTTTAAGGGAAGTATGTCGCAGAGGATTTTCTCCAGTAAATAAATCATGTTTCTGACAGAAGTGACTGATACTGGTTTGAAAGCCTGCTGCAAATGAAAGTTGTGTAAACGGGTTCGAACCAGGAAACTGGTAACGCGAAGGGAAGAGTCAGACTGTGTAGATGCAGTATTTCTGGAGCATGACAGGGTTTGGGTTTTTTTTTTTTCTTTCTGTTTTTTTTTTTTTTTTTCTTCTTGATTTAACAAGTTGAAAATCTGCTGAATAATTCATGAAGAGTGGAAGGGCTGAATCTTCCTGGAATGATATACAGTGTACGTAGCGTGGCACAGGAGAAACTGCAAAGCTTTGTATCAGTTGCTCCCGTTTCTGCTGCTGATTGCAAGGTGCTGCTGCTCTTCGCATTTTCACAGCTCCAGAATCCTCAGCCGTGCTCTGGTCTGCTCACAGCCATCCTCTCCCTATGGAACCACCTTCGCTACCTACACACTGTGGGATCTCATAGTACTGCCTGCCCTGGACACTGCCATTCTCTCTCACTGCAAACTGTGTGTTCTGGACCCTGCAGCCCGTATGACTGGAACATGCCTTAAGAGTCCCTCAGCTGCACATCCTCCCTTGTGCTTGGTGGGGGACTCCTGCAGCAGGATCTTCTGATCCAGACCAGGATGGGATTTACAGGGAGAAGCCAAAACTGAGCTGCATTCAGCGAGATGCCCAACGCCTCTTCCTGGAGTGCCAGCTCGCCTCTGCTGCTGCTCTGGGAGGACTCCTCTGGGACCCGCATCTTCCTCTCGCTGCTCTATGCAGTCTTGGCTATCTCGGGGACCTTATCCAATGTGATGGTCATCTATTTGGTCTTCTCCTTCAAGAAGCTGCAGACAACCAGCAATGCCTTCATCGTGAACGGCTGCGCGGCAGACCTGAGCGTGTGCGCCCTGTGGATGCCCCAGGAGGCTGTGCTGGGGCTGCTGCCTCCCAACTCCTCCTCCCTTCGCTCCGCAGAGTACCGGCTGCTGCGAGGGGGGCTCCTGGGCCTCGGCCTCACCGTGTCCCTCGCCTCTCACCTGCTGGTGGCCTTCAACAGGTACGTGCTCATCACCAAGCTGCCCAGCGTGTACCAGGCCCTCTACCAGCGGAGACACACGGGCTGCATGATCGGGCTTTCCTGGGCCCTCGCGCTGCTCCTGGTCCCGCTGCTGCCCGGGCTCTGGACTCCAGGCTCTGCCCAGCACCCGCCGCTGCGGCAGACGGACGGCAGCTCCCGCTACACCGCGCTGCTCCTCGCCCTTGCCGTGCTGGGCCAGACGGCGCTGCTGTTACACTGCTACCTCGGCATCGTGCGGCGGGTGCGGGGCAGTGCCAAGCGGGTCAGCGTCCTCAACTTCCACCTCCTGCATCAGCTGCCCTTCCCCGCAGCGCCGCCGCCGCCCCGCCGCTCCCAGCGCCGCCTCAGCAGCGTCTCCGTCCTGCTGCTGTGCTGCGTGTTCCTGCTGGGCACGCAGCCGCTGGTCTGGGTCAGCCTCCTGGGCTTCTTCCTGCGCCCGGCGCCGCCGGCGCTACAGGCCGCCAGCTGGCTGCTGCTCTGCGCCCTCTCGGCCCTCAACCCGCTGCTCTACACGTGGCGCAGCGAGGAGTTCCGCCGGGCGGCCCGCTCCGTCCTGCCCCGCGCCGACGGGCCCGCTGCCGCACCGCGGCCCGCCTCGTCCGCCGCCGGCCCCGCCGCCGCACCGCCCTGTCCGCAGCTGCCGAGGCGGCGAGGCACGGGGAGCAGCGCCAGCGGCAGCGCCGCGCCGCGCTGAGGGGCAGCGCCGAGGGGGAACAGCCGCGTCCCCTCAGGCAGCTCCCCGCCCGCGGCCGCCTCACGGCGGGGAGAAAGCCACCCACCGCGCCCCCCGCCAGGCCCGGAGCCCGGCACCCGGCACCGCTCCGCGCTTCGAACGTTCTCCTCTTGCTACTCTCTGGCCCCTCTCCCTCTTTGGCCGCGCTGGCACGAAGCCCGAGGCTCCGGGGCTGAGGTACAGGTTTCCCGCCGCCCGCTCCCCTCAGCGCCGCTCCCGGGTGCCGGCCAGGACTCCAGCCAGAAGCGGTGGATTTAGAAAGCTGGGATAACTGGTAAATATGGCAACGTACGTCACTGTTGTTATGCTTTAAACTGTCGTTATGCTTTAAAGATGTCGATACGAGGCAGGCACCCAGACAGCTCTTTTTGAGACTTCATAAAATCAGCGTAATCCGCTCTGATTCTGAGGTAATGATTTCAAAAAGCACACTTGTGAAGGACTGCCAAGCGTCCCTTTGCACACACAAAGTAATAAATCCACAAGGAACTGCTTCCTTTTTCCCGTTACCTATCTCCGTTTTTCATGCAAGACCCTCCTTCAGCTTTCCCTGGCAAACCTCCACACGACGCTGTCTGTGGAAACTTAAAAACACGTACACTTTTGTGGTGATGTTCTGGATATTTTAGTTTGAAGGCTCTTTATATAAGGCCTGTTTTGACAAAGGCCTCTTTGTCTACGGCTCTGCACTTGATAAAACACAACGTAATATGGAGAGCAGTGTTGTCCATCCAGCCTTGTCACCTGTATGGTTACAGCTTGTTCTGTTTCTGTTAAATGCGTTATTGCTTAAGTGCAGTTTCCCAGCCTCTGCTAAATATAAACCAGCAGGTCCATTGGGAAAGGTGGCAAGGGAAAGACTGCGGTGGTGAGCCTCATTCCCCTCAGGAAAGGACCTAAAATCCTTGCGTTTCCTTCTCTGTTGCTTGACCACCTCCTTCTTCTTCTCCGGCACAGCTGGTCTCTGGTGGTGATACCTGACACTCTGCCTTTTGCACATAAGACTGGGAGAAGGTGGTTGTTTTCTGAATCTGTGGGCATCCATAAGCAGTGTCACCCGAACTGTGCCATCATGAGAAGAATGGACACAGGAACGTAGCAAGGTTCTTCACAACCAGAATATGTTGCCTTGGGTGACAGGTATAAATGTGAGCTTGGCAGCTCTTGTCTGAATGATGGCACAATAAGAAGGAAGAGACAAGCATGATGGGTGTAATATAAAAGTCCCTCTGGCCCTATTTTATCATGCTCCACACTTTGCTTGCCTTACCTGGTGGGGTTTGCTTTAAGAGAATTGCTTTAAGAGGGAGGGAAGAGTTTAATTCTTTCCCAAGTCTGTGACCTGCTAGGCACCTGTGATACAATGCTGTATCCAAAAGCCCCATACCAAAACTTATTTTTCCATATAAAAGCATAAGACATCATCACAGAAAAGATTCTTCTTGACGTCAGGATTTGACAAAGACGAGGCTTCAAAAGGAAAATGAAATCATCTTGACATCCTGAAAATGTATCAACATCTTGAAAATCAAATTAGCTACTTGCAAGGACCTGTTTCCAGAGTCTGAGGCTTACAGAGAGCATCTTCCTCCACCTTGGAGATAGTGTGAGAGCCAGCATGCCACAGGTGACAGCATCAGAATGGTAGGGAGGGTTAGCAGGAAAACACGAACAAGAAGATATGCAAGGTTTATTTTTATCAACACTGTGCACATATCCTGGAGAGTGGAGGAGCCACTGTATCCTTGTTGGAATCTCTCATCCTAATCTCAGCAACTGTGCTTTTGCTAGCTTTGTGCAGCAGATGGAGAAGGAAAACTGTTCCAACCACACCTATACCAGTTCTGGAAAATACTCTGGATCACTGCTGAAGCAGAGCAAACTCCAGGGCCACCAAGGGGTAAGACCCTGTTCTACTGTGGAGCATTTGTTCAGTGTGGAGCAAAAGGATGCACATCACCACTTCCCACCATGCCTGAAGGAATTGAAGACACTTGGTAACACTCAGTACTGGGCTCAGCAGCAGAAGAAAAAGCTTTAAAATAAAAAGTCACATGTCATCTTCCTGGTTTTGACTGTGAAACATGTTAGTCTGGAATTAAAGCAATAACCTGTTTCAGAATTCAGTGTCCAAACATCAGCTAACTGGAATTTCTGGGCTTCTTCCCATGTAAAATAGCATGCAAGTGAAATGCCTGTATTTTATATAGACTACGTTTTAAATGCAAACCTGTATACAGAATGCTCTCATTTACAAATACCTAAGTCAGCTATCCTTCTGCTATGCATTAATTCCAGAGAACAGCTGGAAATCCCATGGAAAGTTTGATGTAATTACATCTGACTGTAAATCTTTGACTGTTTTAATATACTCAGGTGACCTAACTAGCATTACACAGAAAAGAACTTTAATTTAAAGTAATTAAAAAAGAGTAATTGTCTCAAGATCAGTTTCTTAGAGAAATTACTGCTCAGAAAAGTCCTGTATGCCTTGTTCTACAGCCATATTCTTTTTATTTCCACATTGTAAATACTCCATGGTAAATTGCAATGGAAGCTCAGCTTAGCTTAACTTCTGGCTCTGTGGTACTGCTTCTAGGTTGAGAAAATTGATCTGACTCAGTTTTTGGTATCTATGCTTTACTTTTACAGCTGGTTCATATGTGTCCTTCTAGTTTAATGGTGACTTTTCTTCAGTATGAATTTCTGTCACGCTCAAACAGCTGATTAAGAGCTGCTGGGGCTGTGCTGCCAATTGTCCTTTAAAATGTCTGAGCCAGTTTTTCAAGAGGTGTAAATGAAGGTGGTGGGAAAACCTGTTAGCAATTCAAGGGAGGTTTGCTTTAATTGAATTGCTTCTTTGATCTGGTGGTGTGCCAAGCTAGTTGTCTGAGCAGTCTTAAGACTGCCCTTCCTAGAGTGGCTGTTCAGCTGGCTTCACAAACATTAGATAGATGTCATTCAAGTGTTGGATTTATTAGACAGTGGTGCAGGTCAGCCACATTGTTCATGTGCAATAGGTGCCTATTCCTTTGCTTTTTTTCTCAGGGCTTCTGGAAACAACAGCAGCTAGGAGTCAGTAGTAGGCTGAATTGTGGTCAGTCAAACTGATGTGGCTTGAAAACAGCCATTTGATGTATTATGGTGGCCTAAGTAAATCTACCTATCAGTTTGTAGGTTTGTCTGTGCAGAAACACGTGTCAGACCTGCTTTTTAAAGGTGACATTGTGATGCCTCAGAATAACACCCTAAGGCAGAAACACAGTTGTGAGAATTGCTTGCAGAGGGGCTTCATGAAGTTATCGTTCGGATTAAACCTTTTTGAAGTTAACAATTTAAGACAGTCATAAAAAGCCATTGGGCTGCTCTGTGGGATCAGGTAGCTGTAATAATATGAGCCTTCACCAAAACTGGGCAATCACTGCCCTTAACAAAGGTGCGTAAAAATGTACAGGCAGAAAAGTGAAGCTTAGAAAAAGCAAGACAGGGGCACTAACAGTGGGATGCTAAGTAACAACACAGAGAGAAGTTTGAAAGCCAAAAGAGGGCTGGGATTATAATGAAATTCACCATCTCCAATTCTTTGATTCTTTATAAATGTGAGGAAACAGAATTCTATGCTTTTCCTAATAAACAAACCCATGTGATTGTATTCTCAAGTTCTCCTTTTATCAAAGCAATCCATACAGCAGCATATTTCATTAACCTCTGGAATCCAAAGGGACTAAAGGTGCATATGGCATCAGCATTCTTCTGGAGCCAGCATTCAAAGCATGGCTGGACGTGGAGGTAGGCTACCCCTGAGCTACCCTCCCCGCTCCACCAGCAGCACGCTCTGAACCTTTCTTTTTTCCTAACTACCAAATTGATGCTATTTTTAAAAAAAACCCACATACAGATTATTTTCAAATGAAGACGTTTGAGTGTAGCATTTCATTAAAGAAAAAAGTGACAACATATACTTTAGCTTTCTATTTCATCTTAAATCACATAACCAGATTATTGCAGTATTCTTTAAATTCAGAAGTCCCTTTCCCAAATGGCAGCGAAAATAGCTTTTCTCGTGACTGTTTAACTTCTAAGAAAGCTACCTTTTTTTTCTCTTTTATGTCAATCCTTCCCATGCACTGTCATCATTTTACCAGGGTAATAGTCTATTTTCTTGCCTTCTTTTTCCTTTTCTTTGGTATTTTCTGTAATTTCCTTCACTAAAAGTACTTGATTCTGCTGACCAGGGAATGACTTCTTGAGCAGTGTCAGGCTGGGGAGATGATTGTAAACAGACTAAAGAACTGAGGGACAAATCCCACGTACTTAAATTTGTACTTAAGACTGAGTAGGTTTTGGAGGTAGGTTTTTCCCTGTATAGAGTAATGGACAGGTGCTGTGTCTGTATTCACAGGTGCTTGCATTTGATTAAGCCTATGTAAAAACCAGGAGTAATATAGAAAAAAAGTCACAGTTTGAAGGGTGGAGAAAACTACTTATCAAAAGTGACCTCATTACCAAATACACACTCTTATGCAAGTATCCAAACAAGTCTGCTACCATAAAGGTGATTTAATGATCTCTTCTGGCTTAGCAAACATGACCTTAAAGGAAAATAGCTCTGATTTAAGAGTGTGGGCCACCTCTTTATTGTTGATGAGCTCAATAGGGCAAGACTTCCTGTTCAATCTGCCCTATACCTATTCCAGGCATATTCATAGAATCATGGAACAGTTTCTGCTGGAGGTGACCTTAAAGCTCATCCAGTTCCAGCCCCCTAGAGCTTTCTTTCCACTAGAGCAGCTGGCTCCAAACCCCATCTAACCTGGCCTTGAACGCTGTCAGGGGTGGGGCAGCCACAGCTTCTCTGGGCACCCTGTGCCAGTGCTTCAGCACCCTCACAGGGAAGAGCTTCTGCCTAAGAGCCCATCTCAGTCTCCCCTCTGGCAGGTTAAAGCCATTCCCCTTGTCCT